TTTTATTTAGAGACAGGGTCTCACTAGGTTGCTTAGGGCCTTTCCAAGTTCCTGAGGCTGGCTTGAACTCACAATCCTCCTGCCTCAGCTGCTGGATTACACGCATGTACCACCATACCCAACTCAATGAGGCTGTTTTCCTAAAAACAGAATGAACATCTACCAATAGGAGGGTTTCACAGCAAAGCCTGGGAAGGGCTGCTGTGGACATCTTTGCCACTCCTGACTAGGCACTGTGACTAACATAGTAGCTGTTCTGTGTCATCTGTAGCTATGTCACCTATCAAAAGCATCACTGGTATTTGAGAAAATAATGCTCACAGGGTAGGACAGGGTTTAGGGAGCTCCTATATCAATAAGATGTGCAGAACTAAGCAGCCACTGCTCCGCATGCTTCACACTTTGGTTATGTTACTGTTCTTACAAAATACGTGAGAGGTAACCAAAAAGAGTCTTGTAAAGTTTCTAACATCTGGAGTAAGAGATAGCATTGCACAGGTAACACATTGAATCTCCTCCAAACAACACTACCCCCTACCCCCAGTTAATGATTTTTACTGCCAGGGTCTCCAAACTGACTTGTGGCCACTGGGAAAACCTCCAAGGCAGTTTCCCATCTGTATTAATCATACTTGCCTTTTGTTTTTCATTTCAGTGAAAGCTGGTGGAATGTGGATCATGTAGAAACACCCACATTCTGGAGACACCAAGGAAGAAAGAGACAAGGATGACCAGGAATGGGAAATCCCCAGGTGGGAGACCTCTGGTGACTCTTAACAAACTTTGCAAATAACAATCATTCTGTTAAACATTAATGTTTGTCCTTTCTCTGTTCTGATAACTCCTGGGCAGCTGGACCTGTGCTGTGTATTCTTGCGTTCCCTGTCAATGATGTAGAGTTCTTTGCCACTTGGGCAGGAGACAGGGCATGTAAAGTGCACCATTTTCTCTGTTGGCAACTCATGAGCCCAGGCAGGTGCAGGGACTGCACGGATTTTGGCAGGCACAGGCATCCTCTCTGTGCCCTGGCTAAGTCAGGGCCCCTCCCTTCCTGCAAGCCAAGGGGCTGTGCCAGCAGGATCAGGAGACCCTGGAGAAGCTTACTGTGGCCCCAGGGTCTCCAGGGGGTGGGGAAGACAAAGCCACAATCATTTCCCTCCAGGCCCGAGTGGAGGAAATAGGTTAATTCTTGGGACTGCAGGTCCTTTACACTCTAGGTTTCAGTTTACTATTCCATAGATGTGTGCACTAACAATCTGTGGACTGCAGTTCTCCACTGGAGCTACAGTTCTGAAACCCCTGGGAACCCTGAGATACTACACTAGTTGAATCTTGGCCATATGCGCAGCTGGGATGGAGAATTTCTGGTTTAAGAAATGTTTATGGGAAAACCTTACGTGACATCTCTGCTCCCTTTGGGTCTTGGAATCTCTCTGCTTACCTTTCTGTTGGGCACCTCTTTTCCTTGGAGGTTCTGAGTTCAAGCTTGGCTCAAGGGCCTCGTCCTTTGCTGTGGTTGACCTTGCTATGTACAAGCAGGCACCACAGACACATGCACCTCTCTAGGTGTCCATGAGGAAGAATGTGAACATCCAATTTTCTGATTATAACTTGTTTCCAGACAGCAGAGGAGGAAACAAAGGGTGGGAGGGAAGGATGGTGTGGACAGCAGTGAGCTCTTGCTCCTGTGGGCCAGGCACACAGTCTGACTTCATTTTTCTCCTGTAGTGCTAAGCAGCAGGTAGTATTCTCCCTGATTTACACACAAGGAAATGGGATCCCACATTGTGCTCCTTCCCAGTTAATAGAGCAGTCATTTAAATGCAGTCTAACGGGGTTCAGAGAAGGCCAGGTTTCCAAAAGGGGACTCCTGGGAGTGCACACCAACAGGAAAGCAGGTATACTTGGTACCATGTGTCTGGTGGCAGGTATTCCCTGCTGGGCATTTTCCATAAGCCTTGTATGGGTGCTTCAGATTCTAGCCTCTTGTTCACCCAAAAGATTGCTGTCTCTGTGTGTAGACCTAAGGTTTTTAAGGAAGGTGACCACAGAGTACAGACCCAGTCAAGTTCTACTTGAGGGGAAGATATTTGCATGAAGTTTCTGTGCAATCATTTCCCATTTTGAATTGAGTCAGCAATGTCAAAGAAAGTTCAGCCTAAGTCCTGGTTTTATTTATTTTTTAAGTCTTTTTGTCCATTTGTTTGATGCTGGGGTTGAACTCTGAGCCCTGCACATGCTAAGCATATACCTGAATTGTGGTTTAAAAGAAGAAAGTAGTTTAAAGAAAATTCCACAATTATTTCTCACTGACTATTTTCCAGAGTTGAATATGGGTTGCAAGGGCAGTGGTAACTCCTCCAGGTCCACACCCTAGGGCCCAGGAAGTCTCAGGCTTCATAAAGTTTGGGGTTTTAGAGAGTAATGCACATGTGATGCAGTAATGCACACACCATCCAGCTGCCAGGGCACAGGCACCTATCACAAGCTGCTCACTGCCCTCCAGCCAGGTGGGTGAATGGTCACCTGTAGGCACCTGTAAATAGTGCAGGTGAAGTTTTGCCTCCATAGGGGACCTAGGGAAACACAATTTCAGAACATTCCAGAATAGAGGGCAGGAGGATATGGCCTGCATTGGTGTCCTCCTCCGGGACATCTGCTGCTGCTGTCCTTCCTCAAGATGCAGGAAGAGGTTAAGAGAGAGAAGGTGCTGCTGGAGTGAGGTCCTGTATGGATAGGGAAAGTGCCTTTCTGAATGTCCCTGGGGCAAGGACACATGGCTTGTCCCCTGCCCAGTCAAGTGCCAAGAAGCCAGATATGCATGCTTAGAAATAAGGGCAGAATGGTTTCTCAGTTTTATTTCTACTGATTTTTCCCTGAAATCAAATACAGCGTATATGGAACATGAGCAGTTTAAATAACCATGCCAGAGGATGAACAGTGGAAACAGAAAAGGTGGCTCTTCCCAGCACTTCAGATCTATCTCCTTCACCAGAAAGATCACTCTCTCTCTCTGTGTAGACCTGAGGTTTTAAAGCAAGCTGACTACAGATTACAGGCCACAGCTGACTGCTGGTTATCCAACCCAGTGACAGTTGGCCCGTCAGTGCCCTGACCAGGACCGCCTCCCGGGTCTGTCTTGACTTAGCTGCTGTGTTGAGTCTGCAGACACAGTTGGGGGCTTTGCTTGTCAGTCTCTGCAGCTGAGTTGCAGTGTGTCACTCTTGTCCTCTTCACCCTGGCTGGCTCCTGTCCAGCATGGTTTAAACCACGTGACACAGAACACACGGAGTGCAGGGAGCTGTGCTCTTTTGCTTCTGACCTGTGTTGTCAACACAGCTCCTAAAACCCCGCATCAGGCCATGGATCCTGCATAACTGTTTACTTCTACTACCAGGCCCACTCCATTTTCCTGTTGGTAGTTGAATAATTGGTAATCATTGCTAGCTCTTTTGGAGAGCAGGGAATCTGCCAGTTCTAAGTGCTCTGTCCCCCTTAATTCATTGAATTCTCATAACTGCTCTGTTATTTTCACTATTTCAAAGATGATTAGTGATTATTATCTTCATTTTAGATTCTAATCTTTTTTTGGTGGCTCAGAGAGTAAGTGAGTTTTCTAAGGTCACACAGCAAGTAAGTGGCAGAGTGCTGGCAGCTGGGTCCAGATTCTTCACTCTTAGCCATGAAGCTGTGCCTGCCGATTCCCATTTCACTTACACCTTGGTGTTAATATGCCCCTCATAGAGATAAAGAAGGAAGGCTTAGGGTAGTTATCCAACCTCGTGATAGGTAGCTGGTCACTGGCCTGGCCAGGATTGATTCCTGAGTCAGTCTTGACTTAGAAGCTTTGTTAGTCAACTTTCCACTGTGAAAAAATACCTGAGAGAAACAACTCAAAAGAGGAAAGACTTATTTGGCTCATAGTTTCTGACTTTTCAATACATGGGCAGCTGGTTCTGTTGCTCTGGGCCTAAGGTGAGGCAGAACACCATGGCAGAAGAGCACCGCAGAGGGATGATGCTCATCTCATGACAGCCAGGAAGCAGGTAGGGGTTGGGGGGCATTGTGAGGAAAGGGCCAGGACAAGAGGGCCCCACCCCATCAACAACCCCACCCCAAAATGCCATGAAATTACGAACACATAGGTGATTAATCACTTCCCAAAGGCCCTGCTCTGAACACTGCTGCACTGGGAACCCAGCCTTCAACACATGAGCCTTTGGGCTCCAGAACTAAACTATAACAGAAGCCCAAATCTCATGTTGTTACAGAAGCCCCTGATCAACATAGCCTGCAGTCTGGATCCTTTCTCAACCTCATCATTCTGAGGTTACCTATGACTTTGTCTGTGCTTCTGAAACTCATAATCCTACCCATCTTTAGCCTCCCCATCCAGAGATGGTCTAATTGTCAGTTTACAACAAGGTTTCAGAGGGTTGGTTTTATTTTACATATAGGAAGATCTTTTTATTTGCAGAATTTGTAAAACATGAAATGATCCTCTTGGAAATGTCATATGGCCTATGACTCAGTCATATCCCAATCCTAAAGTTTTGTGTTTTGATGCAAAGGTCTTCAGATATGATGATAAGTGCATTGTGTTGGGTGCCAATTTGCTCTTTCAACATAGATCTACATTTAGAAACTCTTTATTTTCTTTCCCAAATATTTACAACTGTTCTTAATTTACCAACTCATTTCTGGTGGCGTTCTTCCCCACTCATTGAGAAATCATACACTGATTACAGAGAAAATGAAAACGTGGAGCATTGAAAAGGTTATTATGTGACCAATAGAAATCCCAAGACCTTTACTAGTAATTACTTTTGTTTTGCAAATATTTGTGCAACTCTTGCTCCCTTTAATCTTGTAATTTTCCAGAAATTTAAAAATAATCTCATGTTGCTAAGTTGTTTTGAGATACTATGTTTTTTTTTAAAGGAGAAGACAGTGGCCAGAATGTGAAAATGTTRCCCAAGAATTCCCATCAGGCTGTGTTCTAGCCATCTATGAGTCTTCACATCCAAGGAGAGTACTTGTGCTCTCCTGAGTGGCTGCTAGATTCCATCTCATAAATGACCCAATTGATAAAAGCAGAGGTTGTCCTCAGAGCCTTTTGTTGGGCATAATAAAATGATGTTCCCAGCTTCACTGTAAACAGGAGAAACTGCTGGTGTGGGATGGGCTCCAAGAGTCAGGATTCACTGTAGGAAATGATTAATGTTGAGTATTGTGGAGGACCTACTATGAACCAGGCTTAATACAAGACATTAAAAAGCAATGAGTGTCAGAAAGAGTAAGCCAGAAATGAATGCACTGTTTACTTTGTTGTTGTTTGGGGTTTGGGTTCAGAGACTGAATCCAGTGCCACTTTACCACTGAGCCACATCCCCAGCCCTTTTTTAAATTTTTTCTCACTAATTTGCTTAGGGCCTCTCTAAGTTGCTGAGGTTGGCTTTAAACTTGTGATCCTCCTGCTTTAGCCTCCCCAGTCACTGGTATTACAGGTGTGGGCCACCATGTGCAGCAAATGAATGCATTTTGTTGCCACCAGGATTTGGGAGGATAAAGAGTAGTAAGAATGATGGGATGGAATGAGCAGTCAGGATCGGGAGGGAGTAAGCAGCTCCTCACTGATCTTGGATTTTTGTGTCCCTCTGAGCTAGAACCATGGTATTGTTCCACACATCCAAGAAATAAGCAAACCATTGACATCAACCAAGTGA